GTGGGGTTTGAGGGCGGCAAAAGAGCGGGTTTTACGGTGGGACCATTGAAATCCTGGTGCGATTTCACCGTTCCATTTTAGTGCACCTCTTAGGCTAGCAGCCAGCCCAACTGAATTAACGTTTTGCAGCCAATTGCCTTGAAATTAACTTAAACTAATTAGATAAAATACTCCAGTAATTTTATTGCAATTTGGCCTTGTTGAGCATTGGAAGAGGATCCGAAAGGCGGCCGTTGCTAGATGTCGTCCCACACGAGCTCCCTGAGCTAAAAGGCGAGGAGCTGACCTCAAAGTGCCCCTTTCCTTTGGCTCCTCCACCCCCATGGACCCTCCAGGACCCCCACATCGTGCAAGATTTTTTTCCAGCTCCAATTTTTTTGCAGCGTCTGCAGCAGTTGCTCCTCCCCAAACAGCCTCCATCACGAGATGACGTGCTGCTGGTTTTTGGCAGAGAACGTCTCGGCACGTTGCCTACCTTGGGTCAAACTTCACATTCGCGTCCTCTCACCATCTACCAGGGTATGGTGAGCTCAGCATAGGGGGAAAAAACCAAACCCAGCAATTAAACCTTTGGAAGAAAACTTGATTTGGCCCTAGAGGAGAAGTTTTAAAAGGTTGAATCTTCCTCTGCCATCTGCCAGAAGCCTTCAGCTTAGTGAGCTGTGGCTGCAGGTAACTCCTCGGTGGTGGCAGCAGCTGCTCACGCCGAAGTCCCCGCTGGCTCGTTATCGCACCAGATCTTCGCTCCGGTAAACAGGTCTAACTAGCTGCAAAGACGATGTAAAAGTCTCCGGAAGAAGCTTTGTGGGAGGGGTTCCTCCTCTTGGCGGGGGACACAGATGAAGAAAGCAGATAGGGAAGGAGCTCCAGCGACGCCGAGTCGAAGGGTGGATGGACGGAGCGGCTGCTCTTGGCATGGCGTTTCTGGCTGCTGGAGCCGGGATGCAGCGGTGCCTGTGGGCAAAGAGAGCTCTTCCCAGCTAATTCCTGGAAAAGCATGTGGGAACCAAATACATTTCTTAATAGCTGGGGAACACTGGAAACGGTATGAAAGGTATTAGCTTGCCGTCAGAGGGATTTTGACAGTCAGATGTTTGCAGCAAGCGCAGAGGAGATGGGTTTTGAGTAGTTGTGTCACTCTTGGTGATGAAAGCACGCAGATTAAATTAGATGCACAATCACTGGAAAGAAGAGAAAACCCTCGTGGCTCCTATCTTCCGGAAAAGGTCTACTAATGTTACTAATCCCCTTTAAAATTTTGTATTTAGTATTGTTAGTAAGAAAAACTCTGAGTTTATTACACAGACTATCAGGTCAGCACTTCGCAGGGCAGTAGCTTCTAGGTGCAGCTTTTGGAGCACCTTTCCCTCCTGGCCAGGGAAAGCAGACCTTTAGAGTGTGGGACAGCCCTAACCCTTGCAGAAGTTGTCAAAAATCTCTCCAAGTTCACCTTGACAGGACTTAAAACCATCTCCTCAACTCCTCCTCCTTTTTTTAATAATTATTTCAGCACCTTTCCAGCTCTGAGATTTTTGTCTCTTCTGTTTTCCCAGACCTTCTCGGCACTCTTATTGGAGAAGGGCAGCCGGGCTGTGCCAGATGCATTCAGACCCCCAAAACCCAGGGAGAGACTTCCCCAAATTCCCTTTGGGACAAGCACCCACCCCGCGGCTCCCCGTGCTGCTGACCACACACAAGCCCCACGCACTCGCACTGCATCAGACCAGCAGAAGAGGCAGAGGGACCAGGTCTCTATTCCACTATTTTTTTTAACTTTTTATTTTTCCTGCAGACAAAAAAAAAATTTTAAAAAAAATCTAGTTCATACCCGTAGCACATAAGCAGCAGTGGTTATAATGTCTGTGGTTTAATGAAATACAGCAGCAATTCCCAGTTCTCTCCCCAGCGAGTCCCAGCAAACATTTCTATTTGGTTTCTACGGGGTCGGCCAAGTCCCACGGTGACATCTTTCACATCTTAAGCTTAAAGAAAATCCACAAGTGTCTTTATAAAATGTTAACTTTGGGCTGTAACAAACTGGGCTTGTGATTTAACAGCTTCAAAGCTTCTGCTCAAAAGACAAGACACGTCAGAGATGGAAGCTTCCTCGTGGAAGGGTTTACACCACTTTCATGTTTATCCCTCCTGGGATTTATCTGACGTCCACCTCCAGCTGGCAAGGGAGTTGCCAGGAACCATTAGAATAACAATATCCTGCTAAATCAGTGTGATACTGTAAAGGGGACAGATTTCAGTGAAATTCAGTTCAGGAAAACATCTGAAAATACCTTCCTCTTTCCTCAAGGAGCAGAACCGTCATCTGCAAGTGCCCAGGATCCATCAGGGGAACAGAAGCCTTGTGCTGGAGTCAGAGGTCAGGAAGCCACTGACCCACAGACAGAAAGACAGACAGAAAGGAAAGCAGCGGCGTGAACCCCAGAGGCAGGCGACGATCTGCGTCGGGGTCCCGGGGAAAGCCCAGGGCGAAGGGGCGTCCCTGGCCTTTAGGTTACTCTTATTCCTGCACCGGGCAGAGCGTGCAATAAAACTGCGCATGGACAAATGTCTCCAGGAGAGCGCACCTCCTGCCGCGCGCCGGACCACCGGCCTCCGGTTCATCTGCTCTCCCCTTCGTCACCTCGGCAAGCGGCGGGGCCACATCTGGATCCCCACGCCAGGCACCCACGCAGCGTGCTCAGTGTTTGCTCTCAAAGGTTGTACCTGGGAACGAAGCAGGCCAGCGTTTGTGTTTCTCTTTACAGAAGATGTAGAGTGGGGAAGGAGAAGGAAGGAGAGCCCATCAGCAAAAGGCTGCTGCAGAAGCGAAAAGGGTTGTTTAAAGAAAAAAAAATCTCACTCCTAGAACAGAAGGAAATATTTCAGTGTATTTTAATAGTAAAATGATTCCTATTTTTCAAGCAACATCCCACCTGGATGAGTCTCGGGAGTAGCTTTGCTTCCCTTTCCTGCTGTACCGGGGCAAAGTCTCAGAGGTCGTGGCTCTACCTGCGACTGCCCGCGCAGAACAATCCCCAACAACTCGCAGCCTGCTGCCATCGCCAACGCAAACGCCTCCCCGGCATCGAAACCGCTTCCACAAACACCACAACACGGGACTCGACTCAGTCTCTCTCTCAGGAGAAGAGCAGGAGGAAAAAAAATTAGCTTTTAATAACAGTCTGGGTTGAGATTTGTAGCAGGCTACTGAACAGAGGAGATGCCAATATTTTATTTAGTAAAAAGGTACGTACTCAGGTAGCAGAACACCTTACAGTAACTAACTCGGCAGGAAAGGTTAAAGTCATAGCACAGCCCTAGATCGATTTGGAGGAGTAGGATGGGGAAGACGACAGGGAGACTGTAAGGGAAGCAGCTTCAGACTCGAACCTTGGCTTCCAATATAATGTATTCAGAAAAATATTGCATGAAAAGCCTCAGGATTTTAGTTCTTTCATAGATGTATATTTACCAGTTTTCACAAAGACTGCAGGAATATGATTATAAACAATAAATTAGGACTTCATGTTGCTATCATTTGGCATAACACAATCAGGCAATTTTTCCTTTTTAAATATAAGGCAACACAAGCCAACACATAATTTAATCCGTCTTTAGTCAAATTGCTTAACTTTGCTAAAGAGTTACCACTAAAGAACGGTTTATAGTACACTTAAAAGAATTTAAATAATGACATGATGTAAGTGTACTAACTTACGCAAGGAGTCAGAAAACGTACTCTGCTAAGCTTTGAAACCTAAATATTTGTTACAGCCCAGGACTACACGTCTAAATTAAAAAAATACAAATAAATGTTTTCTAATTTTTCCATTTACGAAAAACTTTTAAGAATCTCTAGCCAACTATGACGTCACTTCAAAACTTGTTATTTTTTTTTTTTTTTTAAATTTTGTATGATGTCTTAAGATTTTAAACCATGCTCGTTAAGGAAAGTTCAAGGAGCAAATACTTAAGGCTTTGTTTTTCAAAGGGCTGTGAGGGAGGCCAGTGGATGGCAGAGGCCAGTGGGTTCACCCATACACAATGCTACTCAAACCCACACTACCAGGCGACATTCATACAGAAATATTACACTTAAAAGTTACAGTGTAGAGCAATATTTTTAGCCAGTGTACATATAAAGAATCAATGCATTTTTTTTTATTATTTCTTTTTTAATTTCCAAACTTGATTGTGATCATTATGTTCAAGTATTAGTCCCATTAACAGAGATGAGAAATTTTCTACTTACAACAGATTCGGCTGTTAGAAAGGAAAGGTGTGTTTCGGTACACTGAGGAGAACAAGACGCTGAGGTTACCCAATAGTTAGTGTCCTACGGTCACCGACTCGACTAGCTGCTGGAAGTGAGATGGGAAAGGAACAGAAGGAGTTAGGCACCGAGACCCTGGGAAAGAGGGATGTGATAAATAGCTTGGCTGATTCCCAGAGAGGAGAATTGTTCCGTTAGATCTGCTGTGGCGTCTGGATGGAGAGGAATACGGGACCATTGGTCCCACAGTGGCCCGTGAGCGGAGCTTCGCTTCAGATCAACCGCCTCCCGTCCCATCGGGACTGCTGCCGGAATGGGACCGCGCCCCGCCGCCCCGCACGCCCGCTCATTGCACCGGAGACGAGCTCCAGTTACGTCTCCTCGCCCTGAAATTAATTCTAGCTACCAGAGAAGCGGCTGAACCCTTTTTGGGAGTTGTCAGTGGGTCTGGATTCCCTTCACATCAGGACAGCCAGACTCCTAGCAGCGAGGGGTTCAGACAAAGTTAGGTCTTACGCTGGCGAAAGGGGAGAGGGGAAGGGAAATACGATGCGGAAAAAAGGCAGCTACCTACGGCAGCTATGCTGCCTACGTCCTAAAACTGCCATTCCCCCATCCTCCATACCCTGTCCGCAAAAAAAAGTGTCAGAAAAATCTGCCAGAGACTTTTGACTTTGGACAAAGTCTAAGCGATAAATGTGGGCGTCTCGGCAAGAAAAAACTGAAAAGCTTCTTCCTATATTAATGCCTAAATACATACTCCTAGCTAGCTCTTTTCAAATGTAGGCTTCTTTTTCAATTAAATAGGCCTCTAGACAGTGCAAATGGTCAATGTTTAATGCATTAATGAAATGGGCTTTTGAGTTGAAAATAAGCCCTGCTTCCTGACAAATTCTGTTGCTCTTAATCTTCAGAGGAAATTGAGATGGAAATTTAAGCAGCTACGCTACCTCGCTCGTTACGGAGCTGGCAAACAGATGCAACTGCGAAACCCTGCAGCAACTCCACATCGGTCCAGCAAGTAGCTATTAAGCAGAAGGCAAAAGCTGCACAAAGGGGATTCTGCAGTGAGGAAACAGCTGTGGCGTGAAGTAGTGTAATGAAATTCTTTGAAACAAAAGGCATGTTAAATATTTGATGCATAAAGGAGATAGATAACATGTAAGCAAAGCTTTTAAATATACAGTATGTCTTCTTCCAATGGTTACTAATAATGATCACACAAGTTTGCAAGTTAAAAATGCCTTGCTTATTAATTAAAATTAAGACTAAACCTATAATTTTTGTCTGTGAAAGTGACTGCAGCCTATCTATACCCTGGGTGTTGAATATGAAGATTTCGACTATCGGTTGGTTCAGGTGCTCGGTTCATGGGAGGCCGATGGACTTTTCCCAGCACGGCCATGCTCTGATCTCTGAAGCAGGACTGCTGGAAGTCCCCGCTTAGGTAATCCATGGTCTGCATCACATTATTCTGGCTGGATGGGCCAGCTCCAGCTCTGTAATGAGTTCCTCCTGCACAATCTAGCGGTGCTCCTGCTGGCTGTCCCCCGTGGAAAGGCATGGCGAGGTCCTGGGACCCAGAGCTGTCACTGTTGGGTGTGGGCAGAATGTTATTCCAGATGGGCTGGAAATAGTGCCCATTGGTGTATGGCAAGGGTCCCTGCAACCCGTTCACAGGCGGAGAAGGCGTGGGCTTCTCGATGGGGGGCTTCAAGCTGAATGACTGGCCCATGCACAGTTCTTGAGGGTAGTTTGAAGTTTTGCCAGGAAAACCCTGCCCTGCGATCTCTCTCTGAGGGTGCTTCCCTGCGAGTCCAGCAGGCCCAGCAGCATCCCCACACATTTGCTGCAGATGCGCAAGCTGGTGCTGGTTCCACGCAACCGATTTGATTTCGTTCTGGTACGCGGGCGGCACCCTGTTAATATTCACCATGGGCACATTAACAGAGGCAGGAGGAATAGCAGCAGCAGCATGATCTACAGGGTTTACTACACAGGAAGGCATGGGTGTAGGGACATTGTGAGTAGATACCCTGGTACTTGCATTGATAAGCAGGTTGCGACTTATAGGGCTGGGGTTTGCAATCTGTCCCTCACATACTGAGGTAGTGCTAATGCCAGCTCTGGCCTGGCAGAACTGGTTAATCTGGTGCACAATGCTGCTCAGGTCCGGTGGCTGGTTCTGCTGCAGGGTGGCAGCCATAGAGAGGGGAATGGTTGAGGTAGACACGGTCACATTCGGCGGCGCATCTGCATCCGGCATCTTTCTGCTTCCATGTAAACCTGGCTGCAGCAAAGGATTCGGGGGGTGCTGCAGAGTCTGGTGTGCCATGGTCTGAGGATGCTGCAAGCCCTGCGGCTGCTGCATATTCTGAGGGTGCGGCAGCGTCTGCGGCTGCGGTATCCCCTGAGGGTGCGGTAAGCTTTGTGGCTGTGGTATACCCTGAGGGTGCTGCAAAGTCTGTGGCTGCGGTATACTCTGGGGGTGCGGCAAAGTCTGTGCATGCTGGAGAGCCTGCTGGCGAGCAAGCGCCTGGGGGTGGGTTAAAGTGCTAGGTGCAACGTATGGTGTGGAAGGGGGATTCATCATCGCTTCCGGCAGCAGACGTGTGCGTGTCCCGTCAAAGTCTTTGATAATTCCTTTCGCTGGAGATTTGACTATCGCCAGGAGGCCTGTTTTCGTGGTGGCCTGAGACGGGTAGGGACTGTACCTCTGGCCCGAAGTATCAAGTCCGTTCACAGTACGGCGTATGTGTTTCCTCTGGGGAACCTTGACACTGTTTGGAAAAATTTTTATAGTCAGTGGATTGTTGGCGACCTTCTTAGCATAAGCATCCAATTCTGCTGGGGTAGGATACTGTGCAGATCTCATTTTCTGTGTAGTGTCCCCTGCGGAGAAAGGAAATTTGTCAATACCCATTCTGGTAAGCAAGGGATCAACCCCAGGGCAAGACAGTTGCACAACAAGGGTAGAAAATCTCCAGGGAATCAAGAGGCAAGAACTTCATCTTCCCAGACCAGCAGATCGTGTACCAGGTACCTCATTCCCTTTATTACCTGGTGACCAACACAACCCCCAGTTCAGCTTAAGGCAAGACCTGCCTAGGGGAGCAAAATGAAACTTGTGTTTTGATCAGAGTATGTTTACAGTTGGACAAAAACAGGTAATATGCTATAAACATCGGATTGTCTCCAGCGTGAAATATTTCTTACGGCTTGCGGTGGTGGGCTAGTTTCTACTCTCTTAATTTAAGGCTGCCTCCCCATGGCTCTTCAAGCCATTCTCAGTATCTTTGCCGTGTAATTCAGAAATCAGGAAGTTATGAATTAAACATTAAACCCGTGTAATGCTGAGGTGGGAACCATACGAAGCACTTCAGCTCAAGCCTCCATTTACATCTGAGTTCTTTTCTAGATGCCGACATCTGAAAGCACTCTGAGTGCCTTTTTGTCCATTAGGAAGCCCTTGTCAGTCCAAGTTCAGCAAATGGAAGGGGGCTACACGTGCGTTATTTTATGGCTTGCAATTATTTCTTCAGCTGAATTTTCAGTGTGGCACCTTGCTAAGGACAGCATGCTCATATCACACAGCAAAATTACGTGATCACCCCACAAGATTAGAAGCATGCTACTCCCCAAACACAGACAAAAGACTTCTGGAGACAGGGGTGTGGTTTCACTTCAATTTACCAGATACCTACCTTGCCCACAAGCTCGAAGTGCTTCCGGAAAGACCATCAGAAATCTAAGGAAATGCTTGTGCCTCTCTCGCTATAATCGTATTCCAAGCAGAGAGTTGGGCCCTTCCCCTATCACAGCTCTGCTGCTTAATTCCTATGGGACTACTGCTTTAGAAGCGATTTTATAATCTTCAAATAATGGCTTGCAGCTTTGACAATCCGATTTTGCTTTCGCTTGATTTTTTTCCCCCCACCTTGAAAACAGTTTACTGGAAAAACCCCACCCATTCTCTTTGCTAAAATTTTCAGCATACCCATACCATCTGCTGCCATGCTGAAAGAACGGGAAATACAGCAGCCAGCTCCTCCAGAGCCCAAGAGCACCTCAGCCCCACATCTGGCCCTCTGACCCAAGGAACTCTAATGCTCCAGTAAAGAGCTTGATGCTCCCAAGCAAACAGCCTTTCCTCTTGAAAATCCACCTGTGACTCTTTTAAGCAAATTGACTCCAGAAGGTTCCTGAATACAGCTCAAGTCCGAGTACCAGCCACCTCGCGCTCTCTGCATCCTGCAGCTTCCAGTCTTCACAGGTGAGGGAGAGCAGTACTGCTCTAAGAGCACTCATTTTCAGAAAGTAAGGGCCAGAAAATGGAAAATAGGATGGATACCCAAAAGAAAGGATAATTATAGAAATATAAAAAATATCTTCCGTGAAATAAGAAGCTTTGCAAGCAGGCTGTCTTGTGTCTCCAGCACAGCCCGTACCACAGCCCCGGTTATACTCCTACTCTCTGTGCTGTCCAAACACTGGCACATAGCACCCTTTCTCTTAATCAAAGGAAATGCTCATTTGATATTAACCTGAACATCCTCTCTGTTCACATCCCTGTACCTGCCGCTGCAGGCAGGTGGTTTATATCTGTCCTTTTGAGCGAGCTGTTACGCTCCTAACGGAGAGAAGAGCCTCTGAATGGAGTTTGCCAGTACTACCATGTCTCAACAGCCATGGCCTTCATGAGCTTCCCAACCTTTATTGTTAGCATTGCCCACGCCCATTAAGTTCTGTTTCTTCCCCAAGAGATGACCCTCGCAACTCACCATGAATCAGAGGAGAACCATCAACAACAGACAAAGGAATCCGCTCCTGTCTGTGTTACGGTTTATGTTACGGTTACGGCCATTGTCACGTAAAGCTTTTAATTCCAGATGAAAAATTAAGTAGATACTTTAAGACACCTTTACCACCAAAATTTCCCAGCCTGGTTTACATTTCTATAGGCATATCAGCAAATTAGGTGGTAAACATAAACACCGAACAGATACACTAAATATTCTTTTACCCAAGCATCTATTTTTCTGTTACACAGGAACCACGATGGAAGCTTTTAGAAAGCAGCTACAACATCAATGTTTGAACCGGCTGCGGCATTCGGTTACAACACATCTGTAATCCTGAATCTGGAAGAACTCCTCCCTCTGATGAAAGAAAAGAACCCCTCAGTTAACCTGAAATGACACACCAACATCAAGTTTGGCATCCTACCAAATGGCAAAACATCTTTTAAATCCCTTGGACAGCACCTTCTGAAACCAACCACCATTTCAACCAGAGCCCGTTTTGCATATATCTAAGATTACGCTCCTTTTACTATGGATTAACTCAGCTGTTCTACTTAGGCCTGACCAAGGTGATGTATGTACAAGGGTCCCAACATGCTGCTTAAAATGTGCTTCGCTAGCAGTTCCACAGGCAAGATTCAATGACTAGAATAGTTAGAGGCAACAAACAAAAATTGGAGAGAGAGGCATTATAGGGCAATCAAGAGACAGAATATCCCATACAAATATCCTACAAACCAGTAAAGAACAATTAGGTCTGGTTACTAAATGAATGGAAAAACAGCTAGAATAGACTGAAAGAAAATGGTGGTATTATAATACCACAAGTGCAAGAATTCTGGATCGGGCCATAAAATGATGATGAGGATGAGGATGGCAGATGAACAAGCTACATTAAGAAAACAATGGGACGAGTAAATGCAAGGCAGATTACTTTTGTTGAAAAGTAATTATTTCATGTTTACTATAAGGTAAAGCTGTGCATATGAGCAATTATCCCAATAAATTGGTGAACTGCGAGTTCACGCTCCCACTAATCCCGTGGCAACCAACTCATCTGGTCACATTCCTGTGCGCCTCTCACTGCTGGAGCTATTTTTATCATGAAACGAGATGTATTTCTCTGCCTCACCTCAGCACTAATGTAACATTTTTAAGTGCATTTCACACGAAGGCTTTAAAACCCACTGCTTTTAAAACTGCCTACAGTTCAATTTTCATTAACATTAAACAAAATACAAACAGGCCTTCAGGATTCCTACCCTAATGAGAGCATCTGCATTGGGACAAGCGAAGAACAGCTGTGCCCATCTTCTGCAGAAAAATCTCAACTGCAGCAGCTTCTCTACAGGCTTTACAGAAAGAGCCCTCACCCCTAAGGATATGATTTTAGCTGATGACCCCATTCAGCCCCAACCTGCTCTTCTTTCTTTCGCTCCCCCCTCAAAAAGCTCACCAAGAAGCTCCTTTCACCTTGACTTTGCACCACTGTCATCAAAAATCCCCCTTTTTCTCCCAGGCCCTGCGGCACTGCCGCTATTGGTCTTGCCTCAAGTATCCCAATTGACTGATCAGGTTTATACCGGAGTCACTGGGGGGAAGGAAAGAATATCAATACAAAGTCAGTGAGAAATCCCCTGCGTGCATAAGGACAAATTTCAGGGTTAGCCTTTCCTGTGACGCAGGCTGGAATTCAAAGAAAAATACTGAAATTGGAAGTCCCATAGTGACCAGTTTCTAACATGTGCATATTAATCTACAAAACTCCTACTGCACAGACCACCTTTAAGAAAAATGCCTCTTATTTGAAAGTGAATAAGAAAAAAAAAAAAAAAAGACGATTGAGCAAATGTGGATTTTTAAGCGCTAATAAAAAGTCTGATCCAGAAAACTACACTTAAAAAATTATTAACGCAAACACCCTAAGTCTGAATAAAGGCTATCCTGCGGAGTTCTGTGCCTTTTATAAAAGCGATAGCACTATTATTAAAGCCCAACCCCCCATCAAAAGTCACAAGTCACCGTTCATTAAAAATGCTCATTAACTCAGCTTTCCTTTGGCCAGGGGCTAGACTACTTGTGCATATACAGTATGGGGAGAAATGCACCAATTAATCTTACACACATCTGCAGCAGGGGTGAGCAAGGTCTGTACGAGCAGTTTCATTTTCCATATAAATCAGAACAAACTGGAACAGCTGAGCATTACCACTGCCAGCCAGTGCCTGCCAGCGACTTCATGTCCTAAATTCTTTTAAATGCAGTACCCGAAGCTCTTCACTAAGCGGGATACAGCAATGCTTTCAGCATGGGGATGAGCAGTTCTCAGAAACAGCATCAGGTACCATCAGGTTAAGAAACTGCCCACACACCAGCACGTTGCCTCGTAAACGTGTAATTAGCAAATACCTGATTTATGCACAGCTACCCTCACATGAACCTCAACAATTTGCTTTCAGAACTAAGCTTTCCAATCAACCAAAGAAACTTCACGTAATGCAAGGACCTAGTCATGTTCTCACCATAACAGCCTACCTTTTGAAAAAGCGTGCTTCGGTCAGCAAAGCTCGAACTGGAAATGGAAAAGAGAAAGGAGGGGAATGCCCAGTTTCATGTGATCTAAGGAAGTCCTTTGGTGAGTAAAGATTTTTACTATTGCCGAAAGTGTCACTACAATTACCAAGCCCATGGAGTCGGCATAAATGTTATGCACATGCTGAGGGGGAGCACACCTGCATACGTGAACAGTGTCATTCCCCTCTGGCAAGACTTTAAGCATGTCACCCTTAATTGCAAAATTAGCTTACCTATTTTCAGTAGCACCACAAGTCTTAACACAATAACAATTTTAGCTATAACTGGAGTGTAAATTTACTTGGTTTTAAAGAGCAACGAGTCCATCAGCAAACTGAGGGTACAGAGATCTCCCAATGAACATTTCAAATGCAAGAGACAGGTCACAGCCCTAAGAACCAAGTACACAGATCTTATGCAGAAACCTTGGTCTTTCTGAAATTTCAGCTGAACAATCAATGTGCAACTTCAGTGATAAAGAGAGACAGAGTAAGATTTAAAAAAATCTCTAGCCAGTAAACTTATATTCCAAGCGTTAAGTTCTTCTTAAAAATACTAGTACAACTATCAAAAAAATGACTGAAGTTATAAAAAAAGAATTATCAGAGTACTCTGCAGACATATTTTCAGAGGCACCAAAGAGACATCAGAAAGAAGATGGAAACTTTGAACTTTAGTAATTTGGGCTAGATCACTAATATTTGCAGTATATGCCCCAGGTATGTAGAACAACAGAGCTGCTGACCTCAAAAGGTTTGCATTAGCCTGATCCAACTTTTATTGGTGTCTACGAGTAATTCAATGAATGGAAGTGAAAAAGAGTCAGGTAAAAGTTGTGTTAAGAAGTAGTCAGCTGGCACACTTTTAGCACAAAATGTTTTCAGCAAAGAGGCACAAATCCCACAGAAACCTCACTTGCATTTCATCTTGCTGTGGTTAAAATTAACCTTTATAAAGCCAGGAAGCGGGGGGAGAGCTTGCTGCACACACGTGAACCTCCACAGCGATTTCTCAGAGCCATTATTGATGGATGCCTTGAAGGCATAACAAAAGAAAGACTCTAACATTAAATAGTTTTTCCACTGTATCCTGAATGTTTATGTCACAGCTGTACCAGAGCCAGATTTAACAGTTAACCACATCCTGCAGACAAAACGTCACTCACATTTCTGAAGTCCAGTGTTCATCTGCGTGTAAGAAAGAAGCTGAAAGGAGAGGTCACCTGGTCCTGGCAGACAGGCCAGCATGGCAGACAGGCACTAACACAACATGGGGCATTCACTCCTCTGCACACTGCAACAACAGAGAGACAATTCAAAGTTATAATACAAGGAGGAACAGAGAAAAGAAAGCGGCAAAGAGCCATCCCTGGGTGAAGGCCTGACCAAGCACAGATGCGTGACCGCTGCTCTGGCCCTTACTGCTTCTCGTAACGGCAAAGGAAATACTTCAAAAAGTGGGTCATCTGCAGGGTTAAAGGTAAAATAGCCGTCTCGCTCTCCTCTGCTGCTTGACACACAGAGGATAATCTGTAACTCTGTCCTCAAATTTCAAAGGTGGTTGTTATGAATGGTAAAGAAACCACCGTCATTCATTTTACTATATATTGAAATGCGCTGGCTATCTACCAGGTATAGCCAAAGCAAGTCCTCTGGAGAAATCCTGTCAACTGCTCTTTTACATTTAATAAAAAGGCATGGCATGCATAAATTGAAGGCAAAGTATGCAGCACTCTGCCTTGTGGCAAGATTAAGCTGCATGCTACAGCTTGTAATTTCTGTGGTCCATTAGGCTGAAAGATGAATGGCTACAACTTCATTTCATAGGAGACTCGCTAACCTGCGTGGCTCTGGGTTAGACAAACAGCAAGACGTGCCTTCTGCACAAAGGAGCTGCAGAGGTGCCACCATCCTCTACTGCAGAGGTTCAGCATTTATCAAATCAAACCTCAAAACGAATGCACGGAGTGCTAAAGCTCTTTATATATAAACACTTCACAGCTACCCTCAAATCCCATCATTGGCGTACAATGGGGGGTGTTTCCAGCAACAAAGCTAACTCGGGCTTAAAGTCTCCCAACGTTACTAGGATTACAGAGAGAAATTTGAGTTGGAACAAGGTCTCTAGAGGCCACCTGGTCCAAGCCCCTGCTCAAATCCCCCCGCTGCAGCTAGGGGGACAAGCCACAGCCAGCCACGAGCACTTCAGAAAGCTCTGGGAAAGGGGGTGGCTGAGCCAAGCTGGGTAAGTCAGTTGACTTCTCCTCCTTGCCCAGCTCCCCACAAGCATCAGTGCCGCTATACAAGGAGCGCTTTTGCCAAAAGACCTAAGGAGCAGCTAGAAAGGGCTCAGGGAGTTATATGGCCCCCAAAACTTAGAAGAGTTGAAGGCTTCAAAATTAATTAATTTCAGTCATTGTTTCAAAACCCCAATTAAAACAACCGGGGAGGCATTCAAAGATCAAGACAGGTGAAGTAGAAAGCTCGAGACCAGCACGAGAAGCCACGGCTGCAGAAACCCTGCAGAAGCCACTTCTGAAAGAGTCGCGCTGCCGAGGACTGCGCAAACGATGTGAAGCCTTTGGATGACACCCGGTGCGGCAACGTCAGCGCTGCGTCCTGGATAGCACCACCGCCTTCACGCTCCAGAAAGCTCCAAAAGCAGATTTCTCTGCAGGGACGTTTTAAAGACTTTAATTTGAAACCTAACCTCTGACCACCATCACAAGTCAGACCGCCCAAGGAGTACCTGCACCAAAACAGCAAACAGTGTGGACTTAAAGCTTACCCATAGCACAGCAATTACTCACTCCGTGTAATTCATTAGCTCCGTGTTTGTATGCACCTCCTCAGTCCAACACGCAAAGGCTGATCAAACCAATGGCCAAGAAATCTCATACAAATATTAATTTACGAAAACTTCTGCATCTTCACTGTGCGAGTGCTCTCAAAAGCTGACTGAATGCTGCTTAGCAAGCCCGTTGGGTGCCACTGTGACTAACGATTAAAAGTAATTTTGGACACTGAATGTCAGCTTGACAACTCCACGCTATTGCCCATTCACCCTAACCACTCAGAGTAACAGCGACTCAGTGCCGTGAGAAACACACACACAACCTCACCAAGCCGCAGGGCTGACTGCGCAGCCACCAAGAGAACAAGTTTATATTCATTCTCCATTTCATCTCTAGGAGGTAGTAACGATCTGCACTACGGTAAGTTCAAGATTTGTAGTTGTAAAACCTTGTAAAAAAGGCCGAAACCTGGATTTTCTTCTCACCCTCTGTAGCAGGTGGAGTTCTTGGGAGTCTTTCAGAAGGTGTTCAGAAACGATGACTGAAGACCTGTCACATCCACAACTTAAAGGAATTGCTTTAGGAACTGAAAAGTTGCTCGACCTTTATAGACAAGATTCATTCATTACTGTAACTATGCAATGTTCAGTAAAACTTTGCAAACAGCCTGTGGGCAGCAGTTTCTCATTCCAAATCATGCCCAGCAAGACCAAAAAAACAAAACAAGAATCCAGCTCCTTTTAATCAGAAGACAAAACCACTGTGAGTTGCCAGAGCTTTACCTGAGTAAGCATCGGAAACACTCATAGTCAGCAAGAAAAAATAATAATTGTATTTTCCTTTTTTCCTCATTTCATCAACTTCAGAAGACTGGCAAAACCAAGACCTATTTCTCAGTGAGAAGCAGACAAAATTAAGAGCCTTCACCGTAGTCAGAAAGCCATCAGATCACACCATTCCCATATGCACCTAAGCATTTACCTTTTACTCCAGTAATGTCTGACGCCAGCCCAGGATTACTTCCCCTCCCTGCATGGCCAAAGGAGCTCGGTGTCTAAAACATTACTTAACCGATGGCAAGTTTGTGTGCAGCCCTGAAAGAGAGAAGAGCTCTGCAGTGCAGCACTGCACTCAACGTGCTCTTTGACTGAACAAGTAGCATTTCTGACAGCAAGATATGCGCAGGGTTTGCTCACCTGCTCCGTCATTAACGCTCATTATAGCCTGAACACTGTGACTCTTTGAGTAAGCCTCTCGCTGAAGTGCCACAGAGAGGCTCAGCGCCATGCACACAGCAATAAACAGGATAATGGCACATTAGGAGAGAGAACAAGTGATTAAGAGTGGTCACAGCATTCAATTCACAATAGCCAGGCTTCTGCGATAAGACAGCAGTATTTCCTTGAAGGTCAAAACATGTATTTACAGAAGCTTTAGCTCCAATACAGAGTAATGTTTTAGAGAGGGCTATAAAGGCAAGTTGTTCCCGCAGGCTGATAATCATTTTAGGCAATGCCAAAGGTTCATAAAAGACTGGGGTGGCAATAATCATTTTAAAGGAAATACTGGACTTACAAAAATAATTTTAAAGTAGAAGCATGAAATCATTCTTTTAGCTTGATTTGCAATAACTAAATTGATGCCACCTAGGTCACTGCTGAGCATTAAAAAAAGAAATTCAGACTTACATAGAAATGCTGACCGTAACTCCATTGCTGAATTCCATATTATAATTAAAATCCTGTTCCATTTTTTGTTCTCTATGAAATTAATATAGTTTGTCAAAATCAAGATCTCAGTATTTGAAAACAAAAGCATCAAATATCTTTACAAACAAGCCCGTTCTTTTTTTTTTTTTTGTTAGAAATTAATTAACATTTATTCCCTTTGAGATACTCAGCACCTACTTTCTGTCCTGACTGATCTTCAGCACAAGGCTAGCGCAGGCAACTCCAACATACCACCCAGCTAAAATGAACTGAAACCCCTGGCACGGGCTGTATTTGGGACTGAGGTGAGCATTAACGGCCGTCTCAAATTGTTGTTACGCAGTGCAGGGTCCTGACACACAAAGGCAGCTGGGCCCATCATCCCCTCCCATGCTCGGCTTTATTGCTTCTAATTAGTCCAGAGCAGGAGATAAAGTGAACTTGGCATATCAAGACTTCGCACTAGCAGACTTGGCTGCATGGTGGCAACTTGTGTGGGCACCAGCACCTGCAAAGCGCCCCGTGGGGCTGCTGCCCCAGCCGGCCCGGGGATGGGCGGTGTGTCACCGCAGGAACTGGAACGGACACAGTGAGTCAGGAACTGAGGGGGTTTTGCGCTGCACCAGGCCCAGTAACAGTCATCTAAACCAGTCAGCTGCAAACTGGAGAGCAAGCTGACCAGTAGGCTTTGGCACCAGCAGTGGAGGGCAGCGGTAAAACCCTTAAAGTTTCAAAATTGTACGTTAAAGTAATTCTGTATACTGCCAAACACAGCATAACGAGCTCTGTCTTGAAAATATATATGAAAAGATAAAATACATTTCTAGAGGAAAACAACCATTAGATTGGAATAAATAAATACCCCTCTTTGAAGTGATTTTAATCTAATCTGGCTGCAGGATATAATCTTAACAGCGCACGTACTGCAGGATGCTCTATGAAACAGCAGGTTTAGACACATGAACAGATTTTTTTTTCTCCTAAGATTTATTAATAATTAAATCAAAGCATGTTAAGCTTAAGAGGGATTTGCAGTGCTTGGGATTTGGGGGCAACTGTCACATCCCCACAATGACTGTAACGTTCAGCCTTACCTGTATATCAAAGCGCTTTTTGGTCCAGGCGGCACAGTGTCCCCTGCTCCGATTTTCAGGCTAAGTCCTGTCACCACCAAGGCTCACCGGGTAGAACGGAAGAACTCACCTCCACCCATTGCCCAGGGACACCCTCCCTGTGGAGCTATGAATCAGTTCCAGTAAAACTTACTATGATATTGCCTTTCTGAACTAAAATTATATAGTATTTTCTGGCTGATATTCAAAGATTAGTATTGCCTCTGCCAGACCCAGTGCTCCTCAGGCCAGGGGGGACTTTTACAAGCTAAGAGTAAAACCTAGGTGTAAAGCAACTTGGTACTACTAGGAAATTTCTAATACTCAAACACAGCTTTATCATTATATAAACAGACCACATACGCAAAGTTATTGCCAAGTTTTTAAATATGCCAGTCTCTGAAGCTCCCGAGAGGCCTTACAGGGTAAGTGCACAAAGGAAACACTCCCCACAAACCATCCCCAGCCAGTGAAATATGGGAAACTGAGTTGGTTTAGACAAAAGTGAACTGGTGAGGTTTAAAGTTAGGTTCCTGAAAGTAAACACACATGTTTGAAATTCCACGATTAACTGCAGGCTTGTTCACGAAGCTCGGGGCTGGGAGGAAGCAGGAGCATCTACCCACACACAAAAGAAAAGCTCCAAACTATTCCAAGTTTCCAGCACCCTGGGGTCCC